ACCCCCCTGCCATTACAATTAAAAATAAAATATATGGTAGATCGTAATATAGTTCTTGATCCATAGTCCATAAATATGGCTCTGAAAAAGCTAAATAGGCAACAAAATATTGCAGAACTTGTTACTTTTCCTCTATTATATTGCCCAACAAAGATGACTAGAAAACTTTGAACTCCCTTCTTGAAATCTAAAATTTACGACCCAGATAATAATATTTGAAAAGGTTTAAAGAAAGAGGGTTGTTGTTGTTGTTGTTTAAAGAAAGAGCAAACAAATGAATATGTTTTTAAGCCAAATAAGTGGCCTCAAGAATCCATGTTCATATGAACCTCGATGCATTATAGACCCCAATTATAATAACAAATGAAAAAGAAACTTACAAAATCAGATAGAAATCCAGAGGGGCTTCCTTTTTGCCTTCTTCCTCAGTTTCAGAAAGCCACAAACGAGCTTGTCTCAAGTCATTTGCAAAGTTCTTTGGTCTGTCGGATGCTCCAAATTGACTGGTCTTTGTTTCCATTTGAATCATGAGAAGAGAAATAAATCTTTCAATATCAGTGGCTGCTTGCCATAGTCTCTAATCATCTGATATAAAGTGGCTCGTCTAGAAATCGCCTGCAAAAATGTGAACCCACAAATTAAGATTTACATTTCTTAATTCCATAAATCACTCTCTTAAGGTAGAACCTTAGTTAGTCACTACAATAATGCCATCCAGGTAGTCCTATAAATTAAGCTTCAGCATGTGCTTAGTAGCCAGGTTTAGATTCTCCGTTTTTATATTTACGTGCAATGACCATTTGATTTGAGATACTTTTAGTTTACTCTCTCAACTCAAATTCCTCCTTCCATTTCTTCTCAACTAATGCATATGTATGAGCGTAAAGATAACATCAGTTTTCAGAACCTTCAAATAATTTCCATCAAGTGCTATGGCAAGGCTGTAATCAGTGATTGCATCAGTGATTTGACCCAGAGCTTTATACGCCACGGCACGATTGCAGAAACAAATAGCTGCAAAAGGCCAGCACTCTATATTGCCGGATAAAGCAGCAGTATAATGTTCAACAGCTTCTAAGTGTCTTCCTGACTGAAATGCTTTATTCCCTGCAGCCTGCAGATAAAATAAATAACTGCATTATGATACCAAACTTTTTATCTATACATCATAAAGCAGACGAGACTTCTGAAAAAAAAAGCATAGTTGTAAGATGACACCAGTGTTCTAGGGACCAGTTGGATCTAGTTAAAAATTGTTAGTACTAGTTCCACTTCGGGATGGCAATGGGTCATTTTGTTATCAAAAAACAATTATGCTTGCCTTTTGGTTCTGAAAGAAAAGAAAAACAGTAGTGAAAGCAATTTCCCAATAAAAGCCAACTCCATGTAATTTCCACAAATTTAGGTAGCAATAAAGTTTTGGAAATCCTCTATAAGCAAGTGAAGAAATAATGCTTGTATACGTTCTTGAATGCTCAAAAGTCAATCCCACAGCCAAAAGAACAAAAAATGGCAACCACACGAGCAAAAACACAATGTGGTGCAGAACTGTACAAAAAGTATATCAAGGAAATACCTTATGACTCAAGAGCTCGCGGACAGTAGCAGCCAAAGGAATTGATGATTCCAAACTATTGTTTCCATCCCTGGACAGACCCAAATTGTATAGCAAAGTTGTATTACAGTGCATTAATTAATTAATATATTGAATGAGTGAAGGACAGTGATTTTTACCTATCGGTAGAGGATTGCTCTTGCTTCTCCAGCAAAGCAATAGCCTCTTCAAGCTTTCCCAGATGAAAGTAAGATTTGAAGATCATGAGACATCGCCAAATTCTAAAGGTCGAGTCCTTTGAGAAGCCAGAACTATCCAGATTGTTCATTTGCCCATTGCTATCAAATGATAAGGAATTCCTTTCAGCCAAATCAAATGTCTGCTCACACAGTTGAATTACCTCTTCATATTTGCGCAGCTGCAAGATTGCAAAAAATGTTATTAGGATTCCAAGAATCTTCCTGAGATTCAACATATGCTTAAATAAACAGTAAACTATCTACTTTCATATGCTCTTTTAGACAAATATATATGAATAAACATACAATGAAAAGGGCTTCTGCTTTCATTTCAAGTAATTTTTCTGAGTACAAGCTTATTTTGAAGGCCTCGGAAATCAGTTCCAGAGCACTATCGGCATCATTAGATGTTCTTCTTTGCAAAAGTTCAGCAGAGCGGTGCATGCATTCGAACAATTTCTGTAATAGAGGAAACCAGTCATCATCACCTCAAATAAACCAGCATTTAATCATTTGTGTCTATTGCAAACTCCAATAATCTTCATGCATCTAAAGAATAAACTGTAAATCCCAATTAATGTCACAATTAACATCAAGTTGTATCACCTGAACAAAAAACAAAAAGGGCCAATAGTTTATTAGTTCCTCTCAAAATAATACTAACAACAAGCACCTGTGACTTTTGCAGGCCATCAGAGGCTTCTAATGCAATTTTTCGGTCCACACAAACGCCTGTTCCAGATTGTAAGCACTTCCTGAAATATCGCGTCGAGTTCTCAACTTCACCAAGGGCAAGGTAGCAACTTAAAGGAAAAGATCAAAAAAGAGGCCCATGTTACGAGAGATAAGAGAAAGCCAATGACGAGCATGAATCAAACTAATCACCGGAACTGGATAACAACACAGGGAAGCATCGACTCCAAAGAGACACAGATATGTACAAAAGGAAAAACATGGCTGATAATTTAACTGCTTGGAAAAGCATATTTATACTACAAATAGGGCAATTAAAATGAAAGGTTAAGATTCAAATAAACATCAGAGAAGAAACTGTAAACAGTTTGAAAAAAATACTTAAAATATCTTCATACAAAAAAGACTTAAAAGCAAAAAGGGATTTCTCAATCTTAAATAACTAAAATGTATAAAAGAATTTATACAGCTGAAACAGAATCACATATAAAACCAGAACTGTGGAGACTCAAATTAAAGAAAATGAAACGAATGCAGAGTCTTACTTAGCTGCTCTAAGTTGAACCCTTGAAAAGTTGGGATCTATTGCGATGCCCATCAAGCAATCTCCTAGTGCATCTTTCATTCTTCCAAGAGACATACATGGATCTGTTGCTATGGCACAGCATCAATTCCCGAAGACAGCTTTTAGATGTCTCACTTGCAGGAATACAACTTATCCCCTGCGTATAATATTCCTCAGCTTTGGATGAATATCCATTTGCATATGCTTCGTTTCCCCTGGTATATATAAGATGGATTTATCAGTGGAAGGGAATCAAGCACAAACAGATGTCACATCATCAAATTACAAGATGGATCAAATACAATCTATAAGAGCACGAGGACCATTAATCTACTTAGAAACAATATGCTTTAAAAGAATGAAGGTAAATTATCAAAAACGAATAATAACCTTAATCGCCACTTTTTACATGATTCCTGAGCTGCAGCGCTTGCAGCAGTCAAATTAGGTTCATGCTTGATCTTTGGTCCTTTGTCCGCCACAGAATTCCCTCCAACCTTGCTTTGCAAAGTAGATAAATTTGTTTTCTGGCCTTGCCAGGGAGATAAATGTGCTGAAGCCCCAGGGTAAGGAGGAAAATGTACAGAGGATGATGCACAAGGAATTTTTGCACTTGAACTGCAATAAGGAGTATCAAAAGAAATTTTAGCCAAATTCTTCTTTCTGTGTTGGTGTTGATATTTGACTCTGAACTGAAGAAGATGCAGCAAAGGTGAAGTCAAACCCACTTATATGGTCTGGATTAGAACTGGCAGAAAAGTACATCTGGGTGTCACTATCTTGCCTCTCAATAGTTGTTCTAGAAGTAACTTCCTTTCAGCTGAGCTAAGAGTAATATCGATGTTATCATCTATCTCCTCGGCTGCGGATATAAAACTTTCAGTTTCAGCCCCAGACATAGAATCTTCCTGAGGAGCTTCAGTAGCAACATCTTTATCATAAGCATCTCCATGACCCTCCATTTTTATTTCTTCATCTTTCTCCTCACCTTCATTTATAATCATATGCTGTGTTGCAGCAACCAGATCCTCGTCAATTGCATCATTTGAAACCGCTTGTTGTGAACCACTGGATGCAGATTTAACACCAAGACTGAAAGACTCATCTGAAGCTACAGAAGATTCTCTGGAACATCGAGTATCAGCTAGGATTTCCTGATATGGTGAGACATCCATTGGTGAATATGACTCGGAAGCCTCTGCATTATCCTGTGCACCAGTTTTACTGGAAACAAAGTTTGGTCCATGCCATAGTTGGACTGGCGTAGGGTGTTTCAACTTTCCTTTCCTTTTCTTGACAGTTGTGCTTTTACCAGTTCCTTTTTTTGCACTGAATTCTAATTTCTTATTTGGGCCAAAGAACATATTTGCCTGTGACTGTGGAGTTTTGAATTCTACGAAGGGTGTTTGACCAGCATCTTGTCTAGCAGTAAAACATAACACCTTTTCTGGTTTATCAGAACTAAAGCCAGAGGAACTTACACCAGGCTGGAAATGCATTGCACTTGATGAAAGTGAAGTTGGTAATACTGCAGCTCCACCTGGTTCAATATTACTTTTTAGTTGATCAATATGAACTTTACTACTTGGATATAAACCCGGTGTTGCTGCCCGGAAAACATATTCTTTTTTAACTGAATTAACAAACACTTCAAGCTTCTTATCATCCAACTTTTCAATTCGCATATCCTTTCCAAAGATTTGCGAAGAATAAAATCCTCCATCTGTTTGACCAGTAGAATCTCCTGTTACACTTCCGATATTCAACTTCCTCTCCATATCAGTTGACAATACCTTTTCTCTTTCCCCGCCAAGATGACGAGAGCTTTCACCACTACCAAAGGCAAATTCATCTCTCTCATTGGTATTGTTATCATCAGACCCCTTTACATTCAAATTCTTATTCCTATCTTGAACTGCATCTGTCGAGTTTCCGACAGAAGAATCGCTACCTTTTCTGCCTGTAAATACCTTCTTACTCCCACCATTGACATCCTCACTGCTGTTAATATTCAACTTGCTCTGCAACTCATTCAGAAGTTTTCGCTTTCCACACCTCTTCCAACATAACTACCTACATTGCTATCATTCTCATTGCTCTGATCACTCTTAGAACCATCATGGATGTTCAAGTTCCTTATATCATCCGGAAGCTTCGAAACTAAACTTTGATCATTTAAACCAAAACTCTTCCCAATTCTCAAACTTCTCATTTCCTCCGCAACTCCTCCCTCTAACTCTAAGTTACCACCCAAATTACTCCCATCGGATGGGATACGGCCGGGAACATTGCAAACAGGCGGAAACGGATTGAAACCAGGTCCTACCCGAGTTTCTAAACTGCCTGAAGATTTCAAATTACCGGAATTCAATTGCTTTCTAATTTTGACAAGCCTTGGTCTAGCATGGCCGGCCGATGGTCGTTGTGAGGAAGGCGTATTGAAGCTAAAATCGGGATTATTCGGGGTCGAATTCGAAAACCCAGAATTAAAATCACCTCCAAAACCAAAAATAGAAGATGGGTTCATTGTTTCTAGTGAAGATTCCGATCGATGAACAGAAAAAGACCCAAACGAATTCAATGCAAAAGGAACATAAGAAACCTGACCATAAGGTGCTGAAGAAGCTGCTACTCCAGGGTCTATTAACGCCGGTGACATGTCAAAATAAGAGTCATCAAATCCAACGGCTATCAATCTGTTCGGACTGAAAGATGAGATTCCTTGATCGATCAAAAGGTCCGTTGATGGTGGGGTTGTTTTTTGGTTCTTATTTCATTGGATGAACAACAAAATAAATCAAATAATGCCAATTTTTAATCAAATATAATTAATAGCTTAAACAAATAATTATTTTTTAATTTAAATTTTCCATTTTAAAGTTTAATCCTTTAATGTTGCTTTGAAAAGCTTCTTTTGTTTCACTTTGATTTTTAATTTTCTTTCTTTTTTTCTTTTTGAAAATAGACCATCATTCATTCAATACCAATTGAGCTAGAGAGTGGGCTACTCGGTTTGCCTTCCGTGCACATACTAGACAGTGAAATTTGGATGTCTTGCAAGAGTATGCTGAGCTTTATCAAGGAGGAGACCTATCACCGAAAAATCCTCTTGAGATTTGGATAGTTTGTTGACTATCGAGATGACATCTCCTTCCACTATCACCCAGTCCCAGCCATGTTCAATAGCCATTCGGAGACCAAATGAGAAAGTCGTTGCCTCTGCCGAGACTGAATTGTGAGGAGTATCAAGTTTCCGAGCCATTCCTCCGATGACTGGCCAAAGTGATCACTCCCAATAATCTCTACTGCTGCCTCCCCCGTCTGAAGGCGAAACGCGCTGTCAACATTGATTTTCACAGTGCCTTCATTTGGTTTGCACCAACAAACCTTTGGTGGATTCTGCTGCAAAATGGAGTTGCGAACAGTCGAGTTTGCCACCGCATTGAAAGCATTTCTCAATTCCTATGACCTCTCTATCTCCTTGGATCACTTTTTCTTGAACGGCTTTGTTTCTACGATTCCATATGTTCCAGATTAGCGTGAGGAAACTGCTGAAGCCATCTTTGTCCAGGAAGGAAGCCACTCTCTCCAACCAGGTTTTGCATGAGTGAGCAGCATCGTGAACGAGTTCATTCCTCAATCCTGAGACTTCCAGAATTTTCCGAGAGTGGATGCAGTCTTTTAGAGCATGAAGGGCCGATTCAACTTCTTGTTTACATAAGGGGCGGAGACTCTCCAACGAAGGTTTTGATTTTGGGAAGGGTAGGAAGCTTACTCAAAATTCTCCAGATTCTAAATGGATCACGAATGGTCCCTTTCCTCATTAACAACCAATTGTACCCTGATTTAACAGAATATTTACCTCCATCGTTATGGCTCCAAAGCAATCTATCTTCCTCCACCGGAGAGATAAGGGTGTTGAGGACCTCTCTAGCATCCGCACAATCGAAAACCGTTCTAACTTTGGCATCATCCCATCGAGGGAGGCCTTCGAGCATAAAATTCTAAGCAGGGGCTGATCGGAGTTGCTCAAATAAGCTGTGGAGAAGACCACCGGTTTGGAGCCTCCCCAACTATCCAGGAGAATGTGAGCGTGTCCGTTGAAACCAACTCTCCAAAAGAAACCTTCACGAAGAGCTTCTAGGTCCTATCTTCGCATCAATAAGGCTAGAGCTAGGGAAATATTTAGCTTTAAAAACTCTGTACAGTAAGGAGTTCGGGTTTTGGATTAAACTTGCTTGCTGAGGAGAGCAAGGTTGAAGAGTTTGAGATCGCGAATGCCTAAACCCTGGTCGCGTTTGGCTCAATATACCTTGTTCCACGCAACAAGGGCCCAACCCCGAGAACCATGACGTCCTGACCACCAGAAAGCTCTTATCAGAGAGGTAATAGAGTCGATAATTCCGTCCGGGAGTAAATAGCATGACATGATATACGTTGGGAGGGCTTGCGCAACTGATTTGATGAAAACTTCCCTTCCTCCGAAAGACGAGATTCTTCGACAATCCATTGAATATGTTGCTGACTTTTCCTCTAATAAAATTGAAATCATTTAATTTGCTCCTGTCGGTAATGAGAGGAAGACCCAAATACATTCCAGGGGACTCTTGCTCTTGCACTCCAAGAATATTAATCTGCCTTCGATTATCGGGAGGGGTGCCGAGGCAAAAATAAACAATGGATTTTTTATAATTGATCTTTTATCCCGAAGAGATCTCGTACAAGCTCAGCACTTTTTTTAAACGCTCGGCTTCCTTGAGAGAATTTTTCAAAAAGAGAAGGCTATCGTCAGCGTGGAACAAATGGCTGATTCAGGGGCCGCTTATGCTCGCTCGGACACATTTGATCACACCATTGCATTGCTCTAAAAGAAGGGCCGTGGAAAGTCCCTGCGCACAAAAAAGAAACAAATACGAGGAAAGGGGTCGCCTTGGCGAAGACCTCTTTCCGGTTTGAAAGTTCTCGAGAGTTTGCCATTTATTCTAATGCAATAAGAGATCGTGATGATACATTTCATAATAAGATGAATAAAGGACGAATCCAAACCCATTCTCTCCATCACACTCGAAATAAAAGTCCAGTCGACCCTATTGTAAGCTTTCTCCATATCTAATTTTAATGCTGCCCCTTTGCTTGGGCCATTATTAGGGTTTTTAAGTAGTGGAGAAGCTCGTGAGCCACAAGAAAGTCATCGGAAATTTGTCTACCGGAAACGAAGGTACATTGATTATCAGAGATACAAAAAGGCATGACACTTTTTAAACGATTAACAATCGACTTTGACACGACCTTGTAGCTGACCGAGCAAAGGATAATCAGTCTAAATTTTTTCATTAATCTTGGGTTGTCAATTTTCAGGATGAGTACAATAACAATTAGATTAACAAAATCAAAATCAAAATCAACAAGCCCATTAAGCAAACCAAGACAAAGGGAAACAACATCATCTCCAATAACATGCCAGAAGGAACGGAAAAAAGGAACCGGACATACCATCTAAACCTGGAGCTTTGTGAGGATTGATTTGAGAAAACGATGTCTGCACTTCCTCAGCCGTGAAGGTCCGACAGAGCTGGGCGTTTGTTTCGGGAGTAATGCACTTGTCAATAGCGTTGAGGATCTCGCTAGCAAGTTCAAGATTAGAGGAGCGAAACAGATTGGTGAAAAACTCGGTGGCAGTGTCGAAGATCCCGTCCTGGTTCTCGGTCCATATTCCATTAGAAGCAACCAAGCCTTTAATCCAGTTTTTCTTCTTGCTCCTGTTTGCTATTGCATGGAAAAACCTAGTGTTTCTGTCCCCGTGCTTAAGCCAGTCAACCCTCGACCTCCGTCTCCAGTAGACCTATTCTTTTGCATATATATCACTTAGTTCTTTTTTAGCAGCTCCCAGTTGTTGTGCCATCGAGTCCGAGATGGCCTGAGATTCAAGCCAAGAAATGCGTTTGTTGAGGAGAGTCTCATTTTTTCTATCAAGTGTATTCTTCCTTTTTTGCCAGCTTGCCAAACTCGCGCCAACAGCCTGGATTTTATCACAAACCGACCCTTAAGCCCACTGATTTTTAACAATGACACCACACTCCTCATCATCAACCCAACACACTTTGAACAGTTGAGGCCACGTGCGTCACTGTTTTTTCCCTTCAATTTCAGCAAAGTCCTTGGGTTTATTTCAGTACGCAATGGCATCGGCATATGGTGGGTGCCATTCACTAGTCCTTACCGGTAAGTTTTTCATAGTAATCATGGAGGCCGACATTGTCGAACCTATTTGCCCAATACCCTTAGCCCACGAGCCTCATGTACTGTATATATATTTAACTTTAAACAAATTAAGGATATGATATATACATACATAAATATTCCAAAAATATTTTTGAGGATGCAAACATATGTTAATAATATAATTTTTTTAATAAGATAGAAATAAATAGAATTTTAAAATGAGTAATATCAATAAAATAGACAACTAATCGAATAAATTCAAATTGTAGGATCAATTCGAGAAACTGTAGATCCGTCACTAAGAGGAAAGAAATTTTGAATTTTTTAAACTTCACGAATTATTATTCTCTAATTTCTTTTATTGTCATGTTAAATGTTTTAGTCTCGTTGTTTTTTTATCATTTTGTCAGTTTATTTTTTAAATGTCTTTTAAATTCATGAAAGTAAAATATAAAAAATTATCATTTTTAGATAATATTTTTTTCAAATTTAAAAGAATGTATCTTGAATAAGTCTATTATAATAAAAAAAATCAAGGATGGTACAATGATTGAATGGGCCAATCATTAAAAAATTGAAATCATTACTTAATTATGTAGGAAATACTAAAGCTATAAATTGATTTGATAGGTTGGAAGTTCATATATTGTAAATAGTATTTTAAATTAAAATTTTGTAAATGGTTAGAAAAATAATTTAAAGTGAAAACTTTGTCTAAATATTGAATTTGATTTATCTTTTATAAAAAGAACATGCAACTAATGATAAGATAAGAATTAGATAAATAGCCCAAAAAACATAAATTATATTTCAAATATATCAAAGTTTAATACTTTAAATAAGAATTAGAAAATTACGAAACATGCTACTAATAATTAACTACTAATCACCTGAAGATCCAACTATTAATTTTGATTAGGACCACAGACAAAAACAACAATAATCACATTTCATATTTCCTCTCACATGAAAATGTTTAATGATTTTGACTTTATAATAATCTAATTTTTTTAAAATAATTTAGAGTGATTATAATATAATATAATATATGTTCATATTTTTTTAATTATCGATAATGTATACATCTTACAAATATAACTACTTAAATTTAGAATCTAAAAAAATAATTTTAACCACAAAATCCACTGTCATTTCATTTTATGATGTAAGTTAGGCGCATGCATATGATTTCCTATGTATATACATACATCAGCAAAGTTAGGCATCTATGTTGCATGAAGACTGATATGGACACTTTAATAAATGTTTGCTTTCCTACGTATGGACCCCATCATGTCCAGTAATGATATCCTGAACTCAAAAATAAATGTTCATTATGATTATACAATGAGTAAATTACAATCCCATCACTTAATTCTCATTTCATTAATATTTCAATCACTAAAAATTATTTAATTTTAATTTATTTATTAAACTTTTGCTTTGTTCCTATTTTGATCACTCTGTAGTTAAATACTTAATGACGTTATGAATGAAAAAATTTCTTTTAAAATCACGAAATGATCCTAAAGTTTTCTATTATTGTTTGTGTAAAAAACTCCTAATTTCGAATTTTC